AAAAAAAAACAACCAAGGAGGCGCACGTTTGCGAAAAAAAAAATGGAAAGGATTTCACCCTATGAAAAGATCGCGATCCGCTTCCGTGGCATGGACTGGACAGAGGAGGAGGAACATATTTGCTACCAAGTACTTTTCAAATGGTGTCGTCAGAAGGCAGACATACACAAAGGCCATGTGTTCAATTCCTTGTGGGCAGAAATTTCAATAGTCCTGAGCCAATGCCTGAGTTATGCATGTTACGAGGTTTTTGCTGAGCACAATGCAACGGCGATAGACTTGGAGGGCATGCCTGGTGCTTCGGTTGACGAACCAATCTGGGAGGAAGAAATAGACGATGACGGTGATGATCGGATCCATCAGCCACCACCAAACTTGGAAGTCATCGATCTCGACCCTTAGAATCCACTGAACATGTAATCAAAAGTTGTTTGGCTTATTTTGTTGGACTGACTGCAGTAATAATAAATATTTTTTTCTTCTGTCAAGTACGTGTTTGTTTAATCATGATTCATATGTCAAAACAAAACAATATGTTGCATGGACAATTAAACTATTAATGTCCGTGAACAAAGTTTTCCCAGCAAAATCAGCGACAAGGGAAAATATTATTGAAAGTAAATTCGCAGAACTGTGAACAAAGTGCGATAATCGCATTGTTTTCGCATAACATAATGAAAACAATAAATAAAAGTAATTTATATTTTTTAATTGCATATCCAGGCCAGATCAACCACATCATCATTTAGGATATGTGAAAAACTGTCGCGTAATTAGATTATTGCATGTCCAAACTGCATCATTTATGAGTATGCAACTATGCGGCATATGTTCGCATAATTTACGATTCGCATATCCAGATCTATAAGGCTTAGAAAACTATCGATATGAGTAATGTTTTTGCATAGTTACGCATCGCATATCCATATAAAACTCGCATAAATGTATCAATATGCGAAAACATTTCGAATAGTGTTACGCACCGCTTTTTTCACTTAATGGTTCTTTTTTTAATTTATTAATTTAGTCAAAAAACAAGAATTTTCCAAAAATTATTATTTACCAACTCTCAAAAAATATACGATGTTTGTATGTCGTAATTTTGTACGTCGCTGAATAGAAAATTTATAAAAACAAACATAAAAAAATATATGTTAGTCGTTATTGTAATAGTGTTATGCGGTTTTTATGCGGAATTGTTTCGAGTAATAATCGCAGGTTCATTGACCTAATAGTAGTAGTCTTCAATTTATTAGTAATTTAGTCACAGACCAAAAATTTTTCAAATATTAATTTTATAAAATTAATTATTTACCAACTCGGGGACTAATATGCGACGTTCGTATGCCACAATTTCGTATGTCGCTGAATAGAAAATTTACAAAAACAAACATAAAAAATTATATTTTATTCGTTATAGTACGAGCGTTATGAAGTTTTTATGCCGATATGTTTCGAAGTAATAATCGCAGGTTCATTCATCTAATAGTATCTTCAATTTATATTTAATTCACAGACAAAGAAATTTCCAAAAAATAAATATTATAATTAATTATGCACCAATTCTGCGAATGATATGCGAAGTCTTAAATTTATATTTAATTCATAGACAAAAAACTTTTCAAAAAATAAATATTATAATTAATTATGCACCAATTCTGCGAATAATACGCGACGTAGTCTTAAATTTGTATTTAATTCACAGACAAAGAACATTCCAAAAAAATATACTATAATTAATTATGCACCAATTCTGCGAATAATATGCCACGTAGTCTTAAATTTATATTTAATTCACAGACAAAGAACTTTCCAAAAAATAAATATTATAATTAATTATGCAACAATTCTGCGAATGATATGCAACGTAGTCTTAAATTTATATTTAATTCACATACAAAGAACTTTCCAAAAAATAAATATTATAATTAATTATGCACAAATTCTGCGAATAATATGCGATGTATGTATGTCGCAATTTTACATCGACTCAACTACTTTACATCGAATAATTTTTTTATAATATAAATTATGCATCAATTAGGCGAATGCTATGCAACGTATGCATGTCGCAATTTTACATCGACTCAACTACTTTACATCGACTCAACTACTACTTTACCCCGTGCTACGTTCAGTAATAAGTTTCAGTGACCATAACCGAGCCAGAAGTTCTGGATTGTCCCGTTTGCTTTGAACCTTTAAGCCCTCCAGTATATGAGGTACTACTTAAACCCCGGTACTACGTTCATTGTTTCCTCATATAGCAATCTGACTCTCGTCAGTGGCCGGCTGAGGATGAGCGACAGAATTGGGCTGAGGAGTCTGGGGGGTCTTTGTAGAGGAGGTACGTGATCTTTTCGCCATTGTTTGTGGAAAGTATACTTTTAGAGTTAATGGCGCTGAACTAGTGTTAGAAGGGATAGGTATGTGAGTTGAAGGAAATTGCATCCCTTGTTTGACTTTCAATCTCCGTTTTCACATCGGTCTTTGCCAGTGAATTTTGTACACCAGTTGAAGAAAATGGAAAACGAGATTTATATCAATGGTATGACTTCCGATAAAAAAGTAGTATACCCCGGAAGAACAAGCACCTTTGTCTTTGAAGGCGTGCTTCCTCTCGCCGTCGTAGGCGCCTCAATCTAGTAAACCCCGGAAGACCAAGCAAGTCGCCGGAGATTCCACGTCTTCCCAAACACATGGTCAGCTTCCAATGTTTTTAACTTTAATGTGAGGTGACCATGTGCCTGGGCAGACATGGGATCTCCAGGGCGAGTGCTTGGACTCCCGGGGTACACTAGATTGAGGAGGCTACGACGGAGAGAGAGAGAGCACACTCTCAAAGATAACAGGAGGATCAGGACCCATCTCTCAATTCTTCACCCTTCGATTTTTCTCAACAAGTCTGTGCAATGAAGAAACTTCATTGACCGACATGTTGAGGGAAATCGAGAGTTGAAGAATGTTGAAGAAATAGTATTGATCCTAATTAAATTCTCTCATCTCAGCCTCCTTTTATAGAAGACTCAAGAAGATATTTGTCCTCCTTGATACGCGCGCCGTTATTAATTTGTCGAAGACTGAGGGGAAGTTTCGGAGCGACTCTTCAAATTCACAGAACTGAGAACAAAATGCGATGAATCGCACTTCATTCGCATAACTTTATGACAATAAATAATTTCGCATATCTGGTTAAAGAAGATATCTATCCTCCGTGATACGCGCGCCGTCATTAATTTGCCAAAGACTTGAGGGGACATTTCGGGGTGACTCTTCAAATTCGCAGAACTGCGAACAAAATGCGATGAATCGCACTTCATTCGCATAACGTATTGACAATAAATGATTTCGCATATCTAGTTAAAGAAAATATCTATCCTCCTTGATACGCGGGCCGTTATTAATTTGCCAGAGACTTGAGGGGATGTTTCGGAGCGACTCTTCAAATTCGCAGCACTACGAACAAAATGCGATGAATCG